AAAGCATACAAGAGTGAAAACAGATATAAGATCCCTTGAAAAATTATATAATGAAACTTGTATGTTTTGGATACTTCCTAAAACAATATATGAAAGTAATGAGAAAGTGGCCACTTTCATGAGTAAATCATATAAGTTATTACTATTTCTTTTCTATGTGGGTGGACTGAAAATCAGTGGCAACAGGTCTGATGGAGTAATAAAACCATCAGATTTTGATCTGCTATGCGATACCATTTGGAAAGGCTCTGATTGGCAACAGCTTTGTTGTTCAGCCTGATAATGATGAAAGCATACCTGGAACACTGTCAGCCATGGATTGGCCTCCCCAAAGCCCAGACCTCAACATTATTGAAGCAGTGTGGGATCAATTTGACCGAGAACAGATCAAAAGGCTGCCAGCATCCATTACACGTATTTCAATAACTTGCTGCACGCATTTCCCATGTTCCTCAAAAAAAAAAAAAAAAAAAGAAAGAAGCAAGGAGTGGCTCAAGATTTTTGCACAATACTGTATATTGTGGTTATGACCTTTGTCTAGTTCAAGGTGGAGGACCAAACCACCTACTGCAATCATCATCTAAATTTCACTGTAAGTCAATTTGCTCTCATAGGCCCGAAAGGAGGCCTCAGAACACCTGAGCAGACTTCAAATGATATCACCTCTCTCAAATTTCAAGAAGTTATCTAATCTCCTCCATCTTTAACTCTAATGCAGCTGGAACAAATGTGCCAGTCAAACAGAGCAAAGTGGCCAAACAGAGGCTGTTTCTGTGTCGCAGCAGGTAGAAGGAGGAAACACAGGTGCCCTGTGTCATACCGGCCTATTAAACAACACTCAGACCCCGAAGGCAGGAAGCTACTATTGACCAGGAGACATCAAGAAAAACGCACCTTTCAAAGCACACACACACATGCAGCACTATACACACACAACGGAGGTGGATAAAATCTTCCAGGTATCAGGTCCTGCCCCGAGGGAGAGGACTGACCTGCAGAGGCCAGTGCAGTCAAACACCCGGCCGACAAACACCTCATTCAACGTCACACAGACATGCTGATTGTGCTGATTTATCCTCCACCCGCACACAGAAGATCAAAGATTACCAAGCAAAGGAAGAACACATTGCAAATATTCCTAGAACTGCTTCGAAAACTTATTCTTGTACGGGCTAAAAGATGAAACGAGATAAAGAAGTTAAACATTCCCGATCCGCTCTGCGTGCCGCATTGACCCTCTGTTTGTCCTGCATCTAAAAAAACCACAGTCTGCGCCTGAGGAGTACTGTCAGACTCTTGAGTGTGTGTGTGTGTGTGTGTGTGTGTGTGTGTGTGTGTGGACGATGAAGGGTAAAAAGAGGTCATGCATTAAAATGCCCTCAAGCAAGGCACTTGGCTTAACTCTTTTCAACAAGAGAGGCTCCTTTGCTGCTAAAAGGAAAAGGAGCTCTACTTCTTTGGACTGGGTCTGATTGGCAAATAAAATGAGAATGTCTGGCCGCTAGAGAAGCCACACTAATGAGTGCAGTTAAAAGGGGAAAAAATGGGGGTAAAAAAGGCAGATGTCTTTCTACAGTACCTCCTGTTTCTTGTAAAACAGATTACAGCGATAAAAGACTTTTCCCAAAACGATGCAAAAAGATAAATTTGCCTCAAAAAAATATATCGAGCGTAGGACGCTGGATAAGAGCGTGAGAGGATAAGAGTGGAGTTAATGTCTCGGAGAAAGAGGCAAGTGGGGTCTGAGTGGGGAGACGAAACTCATGAGAGGACCGCAAAGAGACTTCAAGGGCCCTGGACGGTGAAAGCCACACAGCACAACAGCAGCAGTCAAGAGCGGAGGGTGAAGACAGAGGCAGTGGAGGCGGTGGGTGGGTGGAGGGGAGACAAAGAAACATTTCAATAGCTAGAGTGGGAGAAATGAAGTGTTAGTGCAGATAAAAAGTAACAAGTAGAGCGTGCAAGGCGTCAGCGGCAGATGGAGAATGTGCATCAGGAGGAGCATTGAGGGCAGAAAAAAAGGGGCACAGGATTGATTGTGGTGAAGTTTATGTTTGCTGGCGGTGTTTTCAGGTGTTTTGCGGCTTATGTGCGACCCAGGGTGGAGGTTGAGCAATGTTTAAGCCACCTCGTGTACACACAAGGGGAGGAGAGAAGCACAATGAAATGAGGAAGCCTTACGAGTCATAGCGGAAAGGGGGGTCTATTCTGGATTGGCCCCTAATGATCACAACTTGAGGTCTTGCCTTTTTAATTACCCATCCAGGCCTGACTGAGACGCATCAAGCTCCAGAATGGAGAAGCGCAGATTGGACAAAAAAACAGGCCACTTCCTTGGAAAGGATGCCCTCTGAACCCAGCAGCTAATGCAGCCCCTGCTGCTCCAGCCTGCTCGTTATTGTTCTTGGAGAGGAGGAGGAGAGAGAGGGTCACTTCAAAACAGGCCCACCACCATCACCGGCTGAAGTCATGGTCCACAGGCCATGTGAGAAGTGCTCCCGCTCGAGAGATCCTCTGCGACGCCAGCGCCAAACGGGCACCTTCGGCACAGACTGCGACCCCGGAATGTAAACCATTATTAAAGCGTTTGTGTCTGAGCTGGAAAAACAGGAGACGCTAATGGCTGCCTCTCGCTGTAACATTTCGTCACAGGCCCGAGAGCATGTAGGTTAGCCGAGATGGCGTCGGCCCCTCCCCGCCCCTCTGGAGGTGCTGTGACGGCCCCGGGCCCCCGTCACTCATGTGGCCAATCAGTCACCCTCATCTGCACAATCTGACTTTATCTTAATGAGCTGTTGTTATTTCCGTGAATGAATGGAGACAGTTTCCATTCAGAGGACAAGCTGGGCTTCATCGCCTGATGGAGAATCCCGGGTTTCTCTCATGTCTGTCCGTCCAGGAGGGGAAAAGATCTAAATATACAAAAACAGCTTCAGGTGCAATGAAACGTCCATTTGTTCAGTGCGTTCATCCGATTCTGACCCGCAGACGGGACGGTGTGTGCTTGTCTGTATTGTCTGTGCTCTTCATTGTGTTTCCTTATTGTCGCATCACATTCCTGTGTGGGGAATTTGTGTGTCTTTAGAGGTGGGGGTGGTGGTGGTTCTAGACATCCTGCTCTTTTGTTGGTCACCCCAGGTCGGCCGCTGCTCGACATGTCAGCCCGAGAGATCACAAAATAGGACCCGTGCCACCTAGAGCAGTGATCTCACACACACACACACACAAGCCCGTTCAGCTATCTTAGTGAGGACTTTCATTGACATAGTGGTTTCCCTAGCACCTTACCCTAACCCTAACTATTAAAAATGAATGCCTAACCCAGACCCTTACCCTAAACCTAACCGTAACCTAATTGTAACCCTGACACTAAAACCACATTTTGAGCCTCAAAAAGGCCTTCAAACTTGTGAGGACCGGTGAGTGTGTCCTCACAAGTCACTGTTGGTTCTCACAAGTATAGTAGAATGCAGATTTTCAGTCCTCACAAAGATAGCTAGACAGGAACACACATATGCACAGACACACAGACAAGAACCGACGTGTACACACCTTGAGCTCTGCTGTCTGACACTGCTGGCACAGATGGGTTAAGGGTAACCATCACAGACAGACTTTATATTTTTCACTTTTTGAGGGGGTTTTTCTTCTTCGGGTGTCAGGTTTTGTTTTTTCCAGACCTTGAATAATTTTATTGGTTTAATCATCCTCTGATCAATAGTTGAAAACTCTTTGCCTCAGTTTCAGGGAGTCCAAAAGTCTGAAGAAGGTATAATCAGGTAAATGACCAGCATAAATTACTGTTCACGGTTTACAGTTTAAAACGTGATATATACACTTCAGCCAAACAAGTTTACAAGAAACAAATTTATGTGGGCAGATGTGATCAAGACAACACGCTGAAGTTCAAACAGGAGAGTCTGGATTAGAGTAGAATGGCCAGACTGTTCGAGCTGAGATGAAGGTAAAAGGTAAAAAATGCAGAAGAGCATACCTGAACACACAACACACCAAACCTTGAAGCAGATGGGCTTCAGCTGCAGAAGAGCGGATTCCACTCCTGTCAGCTAAGAACAGGAAACTGAGGCTATTGGAAAACCAATTCCTGGTCTGATGAGTCTATATTTCTGCTGTTATATCTGGATGGTAGGGACACAGGTTGGAGTACACAACATGAAAGCACTGACCCTGAACCATGGATGGGTTCAGGCAGCTGATGGTGGCATAATGGGGAGGGGGGATAATTTCTAGGCATGCTTTGGACCACTTAGTACCAGCTGAGCATTGTTTAAACACCACAGCCTACCTGATTATTGCTGTTGACTATGCTGATCCCAGCTCAAACTCAAATAATCTCAAACTGGTTTCATAAACATGACAAGGAGCTCACTGTACTCAAATGGCCTCCACAGTCATCAGGTCTCAGTTCATAAAAGCACCTTTAGAATCTGGTGGAACGGGAGGTTCACATCCTGGATGTGCAGCTGACAAATCTGCAGCACCTGTGAGACGCTTTCATGTTACTATAGCCCAAAAATCTCTGAGGAATCTGGATCCAGCGAGGTACTGACAATGTGTGCCCAACAACATGGCTGATGAGTCCATTATGACCGAGTTTTGTAGTTAAAAACAAAAATAGAGGAGCTAAGATGCAGTGTGCATTTTGTCGTCAAACTAACAGAGTACACTGGCCAGAAATCCAACCAACAAACACACACGTTTAACCGTATTAGGGGTAACTAATAAAATCAATTAAACTTTTAGTCTTTAACAGATCAAAAATACAATTATAAGATATGTAAGACGGCACAAAACAAATAAATTACAGTCCAAAAATCGATTCAGATTCATTTTGTTGTGAAAACAAGTGCCACACAAGTATCTGTGAGCTTTACGGCAGATATTCTAATATCAGTGACGGCATTTGTGTCTATAAAAACAAGGTTGTCTTGAAAATGTGCTAAAAAGTGATGATAAATAACAGGAGCTGAAACCAAAAGTGTCTCCAGAATACTGAATAATAAATGTAAGTTATATTTTATTGTGGAAAAGGAACCTTTCATTTGAACAAAACATGTAACAGAGAGAGAAAATAAACATTTCATACATATGATATAGAAAAACAAAAGTGCAATGAGGATTCTTTAGAAAAACCACTTCACAACAGACAGGACGGCAGGGCGATATCACAGCGCAATATCCTGTGCTACAGTACCCTCTTGTGGTGCAAAGCACGGTGAAAAACATCTGTGCCATTCTGAGTACCGAAAAACAAAAATTCAAATTCAAAAATTAAAACAATACTAAATAAATTAGGTCCAGGAATTTAAGTCCCTCAAAAAATTAGGTCAGGGTCTCCCCTCGGTCCTGAGGGAGTTTGAAGGTTATGGATTACCTGAGGTTTATCTTTATTGAAAAGTGCACAAGATCAATAAGTTGCTAAGGCAGTTTTTAGATGAGACTTGGGTGTTTCTTTGTTCTCTGCTCGGTGCTTCCACAAACTAAAAAAAGAGTAACGTCAGCGCACCTCCGGCGTGCATGAATCTAAACTTTCAAAGGATATAAACTGGTCGTGTGATCTGTGAGCGAAGCAGCTTTCAGACCTCTTTGTTCCATCGGGGAATGATGGGCTTGCGATACGTCCGTCTCTCAGAGATGTTTCGTCTGACTTTGACCACCGCTGCAGGCGCCACCTCCAATTCCAGAGAAGGGCTTGAGTGGGACTTTTTAAGCATGCCATCCACATCATCTTCCTCTCCCAGAGAGTCAGCGCATACAGCTTTATCAAACGAGTTCAGGTCTGGTGCGTTTAACTCGCTGTCGCCTGTCTTTTTCACGCTCTTCCACCCCTCCAGCACCCGAATGTAGGTCTCATAGCGACATATCTGTGGGACACAGGCTGATGAGTGGCTCAATTAATAATCATATATGGATATAAAATCCTGGGTCCAGCTCACCTCATGCTGCAGGTACTGCAGGTGCTCCTCCATATCCCGGGCTTTGGCCTTTTTGCTGTCCAGCGTGCTTTGCTGCTGGTTTTCGAGGTCCACCTTGAAGGAGTCCAGCATTTTTGCATGAGACTGAAGCTGATGCTCCTGCACAGGGAACACATGAGAGGCTTCATGTAAATAAATGTGACACAAACACTGGTGAGGAACCAACAGAAACAACAGCAGAGAAGCACTATCGGACACACTATACCTGGACACACTATAGCTGGACACACTATACCTGGACACACTATAGCTGGACACACTCTAGCTGGACACACTATGCGTCTACTGAAATACAAAATGTATAAAATGCCTCTAATGGTTTCAATATTTACAGCCACCACAGACAGTAGGGGTGTCAAACATAGGGCTGGGGGGCCAACCTGGCCCAGTGGAAAATTATAAGGAGGGCATAGACTTCTGTACTTTACTGTATTTTCATAGATTTTACAACTTGTCCTGTTGATAAAATGTCAAACAAAACAAACATTTAGTGAAGTCACGAATGAATTAGTTCCTAGAACAGATTTCCTTACCCGGGTGATTGAGCATGCATCGAGACATATCTGCTGGAACCTTTTCCTGTAATTTTACACATCGATTTCTTACAATTTAAGCCCAAAGAGTCATGCTGACAGCTTTCATCCATTTACTACAGCAGCATTTTTGTAACTGCACTTCTTTTTTCTCCTATGACAATATCTGAGGGATTCAATGTGTAGTTAAACTTCTTTACACTGAAAAGGGGATTTTCACTGGTCTGCCCCACTTAAGGTCAAAGTGGGCGATGTAAAACGAGTTACACATCGCTGGCGTAAAACCTGGACGTAGCTCCCAGGTTGGAAAAAATAAAGCCCATGTGGACTGGCCTAAAACCTGCATTCTATCTGGAGGTCAAACTCTTTCCTGATGAGTCTAATTCTCTCTCATTTCAGCTCATAATGACAAAAAAAATGAGGTTTATTTTGTATAAATTCAAAATGGAGGATTATCTGTGGTATGTTTATTTGCTGACAACTGAGTCAGTGGATTCCCAGTCTAACCAGCTCCTCCTCGTGTTATCCGTTTTTTTGAAACCAAGATCGCAGAAAAGGCTAATCTTCAAAACAGGACTTAAGAAACAAAGAAATGATATCACTGTAGCGTTTATGTTTATGCTGGCTGTGGGAGACACCAAAATACATTAAAATGTACATTTTTCTAATATTATCGAGCGAAGGAACACTTGTTTAATGAGAAGTAAAAGACAAGGGTTATCTAAATAAACCTAATTTGCTATTTTTAACTCCATTTTGTCTCAAGATGATTGAAAACCGTAAGTAAATACATTAGAACATTATTCTAGACTAAAGGAAGCACAAATAGAGCCATTAAAAACAAATTAAAATATAACAGGCCTACTCTGTCACTTCTAGTGAGCAAAAACTTCAGTCACGTGAAGGTTAATGAAGCATGTCCACAGCAAAACACAAACACAAAGTGGTGGTTTGTCTGAGTGGACAGCTCGGTGTGTGTGTACCAGAGTCTCAGCCGACTGCGATGCGGGGAGGATCGGTCTGCGGAACTTCCTCTGGGAGCCGACGGCAGCGGGGAACGGAGGCGACGAGTGAAGAGCCGAGACTAAGTTGATGCGGCTGATCCACGAATTCATCTCCGCTTTGGACCTGACAAGAAAAACAAATGGCTGTTCTGACACCGGCCGTTGGACTCTTTGGCACAAACCCGCATATGTATGCTCGGCTTGGACGTGCTGCGACTTACGAGGCCTGAAAGAGAAAAACCCTCCAGTCGGCCGTCTGCAAACGGAAGACGTGTGGCTTCTTGGTGTAATCGGCTGCTGGTTCAGCCAGAGAGTGATGCACGCTCACCACCTCCTCTATAATGTGCTGATCCCTTCGATAATCATTCTAACACATAAGAAGGAACATAAAGAAACGCACAATCACAAAACACAGGAAATGATGCTATATCCTGTATAATAGACTCTGTTACACTATTAACAAAGCAGGAATGGAGTTACTGACCTTCTGTAAGTAAAGGACCATTCCTTTAAGCACTCCATCAAAAGTCTTCCAACTTCTCTTTCCCCATGGTGCTACCACACAGAAACATCCAGCAGTTAGTAACAAAACTCATGCAAAGGAGACGTTAACTTCTTTAAAAGTCGCCAAACCTCCTCCTGCAAAGAAATACTGGCGGCTGCCAGCGTTAGCCCTCGGCCTTCAGATGCACATATGGTATAAATCTCAAAATCATAGCTGATTTCCTTCTCGAATTATCGCATTCACAAGATTTTCAGAACATTCTGAAAATCTTGTTCAAGGTCACTGAGATTCAAAACTGTTTTTCGAGATTTTTAGTAGATGCACCTATGGTGTCAATTTCAAATCCTACATCGCCTCATTCTCAACTTCTTGCATTTATAAACTCAGGTGTCCGTGCCGACCGCCCGGCAGGGAAGGCTAAGCGTTGTTTTGAACGCTTAGCCTTTTACAGCTAAGCGTTCAAAACAATATCTGACAGCATCACTAAATCACAGTTTAGTTAAATAAACCCACGTGGGAAGTTTATTAGTTTCACTTTGCTTTTGCTTTCAGACCTGCTTTAAGTCTTCATGGCACAGATTCAACAATTTGCTGGAAACATTCCTCAGAGATTACGCTTTACGCTGACATGACAGCATCACTCAGCTGCTGCATCAATACATCTGACCTCTGGCATCAACTGCTGCTTACTGTCTCCTTTTTTCAGCCCATTTACTGTAAACCCTAGAGGTGGTTGTGTGGGGAAAATCCCAGGTCAGCAGTTTCTGAAATATGAGATGATCCCGTCTGTCACGAACAACCAACCTCATCTCATTTCATTCTAATGTTTGTTTTGAACTTCATTGTGTGATCTTATTCACATGAGTTTTTGCTATGCGACTGGATGGTTAGATCTTTGTGTTACCGAGCAGATGAACCTGTGTACTCAATAAAGTGGCCAGTGACTGTAAAATCTCGTTACACCACTGTACCATCTGCTTCATTCTCAGTTTGAGGTGTTACAGGTAAGAGTTCTGCCTCACGAAGTTAAGCGGTAACTTTGGGGCACAGACTGGAACGATAAAACGTCAAACGTTTACAAAATATTCTTGATAATTCAAAATAACTGTACTCATGCGCACATCTATACATTTATTTCCATTTTTTTAAGAGCGTTATATGTTTGAGGCACGTAAAGAGTAAAGTTTAGGGATTATTTTTAGTTTATTTTCAAATTAATTTAAGATTTTGTTGGTTTCCAGAGCAGATTTAGTCTTTTCAGTTTCACTTTTATTGTTTAAAATCTACAGTTTCAGACCAGATGGGATAAAACATACCTTATTTATCTGTTCTAAAACATGGAAAACATCCTGAGGAAGGAATACTTTGTTAGGAAGTCCCTAACTCACAGATATTTCATGACTAGTTGTGGAAGTGGAATTATTGCAAAGTGGAAGCATTTAGGCATCACAGCAACTTAGCCACAAAGTGGAAGACCACGTGAAGTCACAGTGTGCTGAGGCGCTTTGTGAGCAAAAGTCAGCAACGCTCTGTTGACATAATAACTGCAGAGCTCCAAACCTCCTCTGGTGCACAGAAACAGTGCACTGGGAGCTTCGTGGCATGAGCAGCTTCTGTAGCTGTAATGTGTAGATGGTGTATCTAACACTGCAGCGTGAATCTCAGATGTGTATCTGTGTCGCACTCACTGCGTTTGCCATCGATGTCAGCGTGTAGCTTTCTCTGGAGAAACCCGTTTTTGACGACGGCAGCCTTTTTGTCATGAGGAATGTCCAGGAAGGGGTTAACCTTTGAGCGCAGCCGTGGATTGTCGCCCGGATCTTCATTCACCACGTTCTTCAGCTCATCCTCATCACTTTGAAATAAAATGGAAGAATATGCGAGTGAGATCACGCATTAAAATCGAGGAGGACTAACGCACAACCGCTTTACTTACACAGCCCATTCCAGCGGCTCGTTCTTTATGGAGTTGTAAAGACTCTGCAAAGGGAGAAAAAGCTTCATCAATCAGGACTGAACTTTTCTCAAGGAGCTCTCCAAAGGAAAAACTGAAAATCTAGGAAAGTATTACTTTCAAGAGATCCTTGTTGAAGTTCGCTCCATCATTCATTCCATCCAGGTTTGACACAAACTTAGAAGACGACATGGATTTTCCTACATGCTGTCAACACACACAACACATGTTTGATTACAGCACAAAGTTTACAATGATTGCTCTAAATGCCACAAATGTCTGCTACCTGTCCATGCAAGTCAGTGTTGAGAAGCATCAGGGCACATGTCAGAGCCAACACAGCCCCTGAGGACATAAAAAAAACAGAAAAGTGATGTTGACGCAAGAATCTGTTAAATGTAAGTTCCTATCTCTGTATCTCGCAGCACGACACAACAGGCTCACCTGAGGAGGAAAAGGAGTCGGGGTTGCACTGATGGAAGCGGCAGGAGAAATGCTGCAGCACGCGCTCTCTCTCCTGCGTCTCTCCTATCAGCACCACCACTTTGAGAAAAGACCTAAGAAAGAAAGAAAATGACTAGGAGACGCTCTCTGAACCTCTCCGTTTTAAAAGGAGATGTCGGTGGAGGCAATCCAAGCTTCTGTTTGTTTTATTACCTCAGGGAGTGATCCAGAGTTTGGCCGGTGAAGTCAAAGAATTTCAGGTATTCCTCTCCGACAGCGCGGCTGAAGTCGTTACTAAATAAAAACAATTGATGAATAAATAAAAGAGAGAAGAAGAAAAAATTAACTACGTCAGCACTGTCACCACTTTATTTATCTGCCACATTCATCTGTAATTTTATTTCATGGGGAAGGATGTGGTGTTACGAAAAAATACTGACTTCTTCAATACAACGGCAAAGCATTAACACACCCAAACCTCCTTACCCAACCCCACTCCGCAACAGCTTCAGTGACTCAATGTTATGAGGCTTTTTCAATTTGAGGGAAGAGTGAGTTTTAATCCAGGCGGGCCTTTTAGGTCTTCAGGTTTCATATGTTTGGGGTGGCTGCAACTGAGGAAGTAGAGGAGGTCATCTACTACTCAGAGGGTTGGTGTGCAATCCCTGGCTGCTCTTGCCTGCTCTCAGCACCTAACCCTAAGGTGCTGAGAGTAAATCAGCACCTTCGAAACAACGCAAAGTTGTTTCTTTTGGGCAAATTATGATGATTAAAGATCATAAATGAAATAATTGAAAATATACAATATATAGCAGTGGCCCACCGCCTTTGGCAGAAAACTAGATGATTAGTAACATTTTTTTACTTTTTTTTTCATTTATATATACATCTGAAAAAATGTGAAACCCATATGCTGACTTAAAAAAAGCATATAATATGTGCGTCATAGCCTACTTCTGTCACCTGGCAGTGGTGAGAGGTGGTAGCTAGCATAGACACAAACATATGTCCTAGTATTTAGTCCAAAATTCAGAATTTTCTTTTACATTTTTAAAAGTATTCTGCACAAAAACAGATAGGACTCAATGTAGATTAAAATTATGAGATATTTACTACATGTATGCACGCTTAAATTATAATATAATCATAATAATAATGGATGCTTTTGCATTTAAAAAGGTCTGAAGATTTGTCAAAGTCTCCACTTCTGGATTTCTTTAGCATTTGAACATGGATTTAAGTAACCTGGTTATGGTTAATTTAAAGCGTTTCACAAGTTGGAAACTGTAAATGTGTCACAAAAATAAAATTCAACATAGATATAATCTGTTGTGTTTGAGCACACATTTGCAAACATACGGATCTTGGAGCTCTTCTGTGGAGCCACCACCAAAAGACTAAAATGATTCAAATCTATTAAAATATATACTCTTACTCTTTGTCTAAGTGCTTCACCACATCTCCACGTTGAATCTCGTCCAACTTGAACAGCTTTTCAGCGAGGATGCGGGCCTTCTCTCTGTCCACCTCGCCTCCATTCATAAGAGGCACCGCTGTCTCCAGGGGCGTGGGCTGCTTTCCGTTTGCCACTACTGTTTCTAAATCTCCATCCTCAGTCCCCCTAACATCTTCTGTTAGATCTGAAGTCTCACCCTGTTTTTCCTCCTCATTTAACTCCTCCTGAGTTTCGGTTGTATTTACTGGTTCCTTATCGTCTTCTGAAGGCGCTGTCTCTTCTTGCTGCCCTGCCTTTCCAGGGTCTTCAGCTTCAACACAAACAGCCTGCTCCAACTGAGGAGACTCCTCTGGCTGCTCTGCATCGTCAGGTTGGATTACCTGGTCTGTCAGTTCCATCTCTGGTGACTCTTCCAGATGCTGGGGTGGTTCTAAGTGGTCAGCGTCTTCCTCGGTTTCATGTGACCCCTCTACTGGTATCTGCTCTGAGTTTTCAGTCACCTCGAGATGCTCGGGCTCTCTGTCCTGCACCTCAAGCTGCAGTGAAGCGTCTGTGTCCTGCAAAGCTGTTTGAACACAGTCTTGTTGCTCTAAACAATTTAAATCCTCCAGTTTTTCAACCAGCTCTTGTTTGTTTTCTATCCTCTCTGCATTTTCTAAAATCTGTAACGCTGCTCCCTCGTCATTGTCCACAGCTTCTGGCTGTTCAGGCTCCACGTTCTGTTCGACATCTTCACACATTTCTGTCCGACTGGTGAGATCTTCATGTAACTGGTTCAGTATCTCTTGGTCCTCTTCAGCGCTGAACTGCAGGCTTTCCTCCAAAAGCTCTGGGGGTGGCAGATCCACTAGCTTATCTGCCTCTGTCGACACTCCAGTGTCATCAGTTGGAAGGGGCTCTGGATGTACCTCCCTAAAAAGTGTGCACGAAATATGCAGTGCAGTTATTGCAAAAAATACTATACAGTAAAAAAACAAAACTTGCATGACACAATGGAAGGATACGCAGTTAGCGAGGGCCAGAGATGTCAATCAACCTCTTCTGCATGATATTTACTGACTTGTTTCTCTGTGTGGCTTCTGTCAACACCACTACTTTAAATAAAGCTACTCTTAGCGATCATGCTCGCAACTTGTTTGGTGTTAGATGACAAAATAATTTAAATGCAACATAGAAACATCAAAATGCAGCTGAGAAACTGTGTATTAGTAACCATTAAATGTTATATCACAAAAACCCGGATGAGGAGTAGGAGGTCTTCGGTCAAAGAAATATATTTAGCTAACAGCACGTAGGCGTTAAAGACATACCATTACATACCAACCACAATCTTTGGGTCTTTTGGAGTTGTGATAGCACTCTTTGATAGGTGTCAGTGCCATCATTGTTCTATTTTTACAGTTTAACTACCTACTATTCTAATAATCATCACCTAAAATTCAACAGTGGTGGCATTTATTATTAAAAGCAGTATTGAGCTATTATTAGAAATTACCAGGAAATATATCAAAATATATCGCCACCACACTCAGTTGCACAGAAATCGTTATGTTGCATAGGAGCTGTTATGTTGCTATGCAACTCCCTCCTCATAATATCTAAATTAACATTTCTTTAAAAAATTATGCAAACTCGTTTCCTTAGAAAATCTGCATACAGTTTAGACTACATGGTTAAATTAGGAGAAATTGTTTCTTGAGAATGGACAGCAGTCAGAATAACTTAAATTTTCTGAGTGAGCAATGTAGAATTGGGACTGGGAGGAGACCCAAACCCAGCCTCATGGGGTCAAAAGCTAGCGTGGATCCTTCTTTGTCGACCCCCTTTGAGGAAGACAGGAGTAGCTGAGAGTATGATTGTAGCAGATTTTGTTACCTGAATTTAAATAAAATGCAGAATTGACTATCAAAAGGTCAGTAAGAATTTGATACTTTGGTCAGAAAGCAGAAATTTTTGTATGGGTGTGAAAACATCCTCCTCTCGGGAGACGAGACAACATTTGCTAGTACTTTCAAGATGTTCTGGCAAAATTAAGTCTCTGGTTCTTTCAGTATGGACCTAATACCCAGTCACACTCTTGTTAAGAAAAATAATGTGATAATTATATTTGAGCTGACATTCTGCAAACATATTTTTCATTTTCATTTTTCATTAAATGCTGAACAAATCTCCTTTAAATTTACTGACATGTTGTGAACAATGTCAAGTTCTCAATCTTGTAGACTTAAAGATTTTTCTTGGTTTTATTTAGTTACTGTAATAAGTCGACCTCACCCAGAAAGCTTTTTTTGAAAAATCATTGCTGACTTGGTGTCAGAAATGATTAAACGATGTTCTGTCATGCAATCGGTGTTAAACATACGGAGTTCTTTTTGGTTTCAGAATCAAGCGACGGTATAGAATATCAACAGCGTTTTACAGATGATTTATTCACACTTTTCACTCAGTGGGTTTAATGTTAGCACATGCTTCCTGTTCCTCTTTTTCAAGCTCGTGATACTCACACATTCATCAGACAAATGACACTTTCTTCACTGCAGGATGCGTTTGCCTCACTCTGCCCTTCTTCTACCTCGCCCCACTGCTCGTTCTCTTCCTCGGTTTTGTCACCATTTGCTGAAGTTCGCTTTTCCTCCGACTCTCCTGACTCCTCCTGCCCAGTCAGCAGAACACAGGAGTCTTTCTGTTCCTCTTCTAGCTTTAAATCTACAAAGCTGTCCACATATTCATCCGAGCTTCCAGTTCCCAGATCAGTATCGATTAGTTCCTCAGTTTCAGCGGGATGTGATGTCACTGAGCAACCCTCCTCTTCTTCCGATTCTGCTCTCAATGGGACTAGAAGCGTGTGAATACGACTGCATGCAGTTAACTTATAGAAAATATTACTGAAAGGCAAGCCATCAAGGCCATGAATGTTTAACAACAACTCTGAGTGATACATACCGTTATTACTCTCTACCAGCTCGTCTTCTTTCCACCGTGTCTCCAGCTCTTGCACATCTGCAGCATCACATGGCTGAAAATTGCAAGACGAGCCACTGAACATTAGTTGTGAGAGAAAAACTTGTGATTGCCCGTGGGTTTGCGAGCAGGAAGATACATGCTGAGGCTCATCTGACTAACATTACATCCACCCTGATCCACCTAACTCTGCTCAACCTGCCACAGCAACCCAAAGACAGAGATGCTGAGTTATGCTCAGTAAAGAAAGGGTTAACGATACAGGAAACTGTAGGCAAATGTGTGAAGATTCACTCAGGAAAAAGAAAATCCTAAACAACCTAACAACCTCACACACACCTTCTTTATATCCATCTATCTTTATTTATTTATCTATCTAAAAATAAATAAATAAATAAATAAAAAAACCTTACCTCAGTGTCACTTCCTGTCCACTCAGGTTCTGAATTCAGAGGCTGTGGATCGAGGCCAGCTTCTTCCTCCCTGCTCTCCGCTTTGAAAAGCTCAGCGCTGACATCCTCTTGAGACTCGTGAAGTGATGGGGAAGTGCTGCCTTCATTCGTCACAGCGCTGACATCCTCAAAGTCCAGCTCATTGGCTGAGCTGCTGTCAGTCATGAGCAGAGGCTGCTCTGCAGCGGGATCGGGCATGTCCCATTGAACTGTAGCAAAGGAAAGTGGGGGGCTGGTACAGTTGACATGACACACTGGCCACATCATTTGGCCCCACTGTTCCGCCTCCTCAGAGGCATCACAGCCCTTCTTAGGGCTGAGATTGGCCTGATCCGACAATGCTGCTGCCTCCTCTTCCCAATTGATGGACTGATGATCTATACAGTTACTCGATTCTTGCTGAAGCACTGAATCTGTAGCAACTGTCTGAGAGGTGCACAAGCTGTCCTCCTCCATAAGCGCCTCTCAGTAGCTATCAGTGTATTTGTGGGTTGTGGTGAGAGGTGTAAAATCTGCAGATGTATGGCTACAAAATGTCCTCGTTGGCCGAATGACAGACAGGAACTTTTTAAGGTGAGCCCCCTTCCGGGTGCTGCCTTTCACAGATCTGTAACAATTTAAAAAAAAGGAAAAAAATACAAAAGATCAAACTACTACCACGTTTTAAAGCTCTTTGAATCTCGCATTAAAAAGAAAATGGAGAAACACCCCCGGGGGGAGATGATTAGCTGACAGACAAAAAAGCCATTCATAAAACGCTGCTATATTTAGTTGTAAAGAAACTGCCGCCATTCAAATACAGATTATCATTATAGTTAAACTGCACTCACCACTTGTATGGCAACATAATCCAGTTTTGTCTGTAATTTTATTTTTATCCCATCATGTTCATTTGGCAAGGATCTCAAACTCTTGGTGTGTGTTTGCAGTTATGCAGTGCAACAAGCTTTAAGTAAAATGTCACAGAAGCACGCTTGTACTTCCTGACCACAGAAAATCAGCCAAGCAAGAGAGAGTCAGAGGTGTACATGGTGAGGATAGAGAATCGAGGCCTAGGGAGGGGCTGAGGGGTTGCTTCTGGTGAGCAGTTTAACTGTCTGCATTCTGCGTTTATCGTTTTATCGCCAAATCGCACTGCGAACCTGGCTTGTGGATAAAGCCGGGTCTCTGCTTTAATTACAATGCTTGTTATCGACACAAACAAAAGAGTGTCATGGATGTCTCTCCTGTCAACACAGAGGCCAAAATACCACCTGCCTTTGCACTTTGGGAGGAAATAATAATCAGTATTATTCAACTACTTTAATGTCACCTTCATCTATGCCACTCTCTCTCTGGAAAATGCCTTTTTATTGAAAAGTTTCTGTCTATCTTCATTATTTTATTCACGTCAGATAACCAACATCCGGGATAGACCACATTTCCTGTGTGGGTGCTCACTTCTCAGTTCCTGTCAGCGTGCAGCAAGCGCTACATTATGGGAGGCAACAAAGAGAGAAAACTCTAAATGAGTCAGATTGTGTTTGAAAACAAAATGCTTAAATTGTTGCTTTTCTTTTTCTTTTAATTTCTCCAGACGGTAATAAAAATGCACGGTATAAAAATTAAAAAGTAACGGGCAGCCCTCACACATTGAACATCGATGGCGCTGTCCTGATTTCAATCTCTCCTTGATAGACTTTTGTTTCATACAGCAACAGTTTTGCACCAGATTATATGCGGTAGCATTGTTGATGATAAAAACTTTACCAGTGAAAGCCAGACGGCTGTGAAGCTTTGCGGAAACATTCCTCAGACACAATAAAAGAGAGAACAAGAATAAAACTTGGTGACTTCAGCCAAAACATTTAGACATATTCTGACTGAGCTGAGTGTGGTCACGAGAAGTTGCTTAGATTGCATGGGAATATACTCACCAAAATTACATGCTAGGGGGATGGTTAACACAAATTAAAGGAGAAGTATAAATGGTAACGGAAAAAAAGATACTAGAGGGAAAAAAGGGAACACAGGCACATCGAATGAAGTAAAAGTTTTGAAATGGCTTAATAATAATAATAGTATTCAGAGAAATAAAAGTAAAACCAATCTCATTATAGGAGGAATATTTTCAAATGTGAAGCGTGACTTACCCCCTCTGGGTTCTTTAAAGCGACATCATATGATCAGCCAGCTTGTGAGTTCTTAAGTCCTGTGGAGAGAAAAGCAAACCACTGTGTTATACCGGCTTTATATCGCTGTGCACTCACAGAAACAGCCACTCAACACGCAGACACAGAGAAGCCTGCAAGTAAGCCTCAGAGCTGTGTATAGCAAACAAGTCTCATATCCACCTAGCAGCCTTTAAGTGTAGGTTACAAGCCCAAGTCTGGACCATCTTCCCTTACCTTCTTCATCATGCTTCCTGTCCATATTGACTAGACCAAACTCGTGGTTACGTCTCCCTGCGTCGTTTTTTTCACTCTGAACAGCAAGTAAAGGGAGGGAAAGGAGGAAAAGATCTGCTGAATGGCAGCAACAAGGAGGAAGGAAAGGTTCATTGTGATTGGCAGATGACTCAGGAACTAAAAGGACACCTGAGAGGCCTGGCCCCCGCCCCACTGGCCTAAAGGCATGCATGCAAACACACACACATACACACACAGCCACAGAGACACCAGTGAGGTAAGGGGAGTGGCCCGACTTCATTCTTTCAGATGCCACTAGGAACAATGTGGAAAAACCAGAAGGTATCCAGACTCATTAGCAGTTACTCTTTCTGCTGGTGCCAACTGTGAGCAGAAAAGCCTGTTTGACACATACAAGACATTTTTTAAGACATTCCTCTCTCACACATTAATTCATCCTATATTTAGCATCAAATCACTCAGAGAGTTGTGCGTATGCCTTTTATTTCGCTGGTGTAAAATGCAAAGAAATATCTTACAAAAAAAAAAAAAACTAGGGGTGAGGAACCACGTAAATTGGCCTCTCTGTATCTCACTAGCTGTAAAACCAGCAAAAAACTGCGTGTGACAAAACGAGAATAACCGTTGAGACAGGTGTTGTTTGTGTATAATTTCTAGAGTTAATGGCCTACAAATGATAGCACCATATCCAATCATACACCTGTTTAACTAAAACTAGCACAAGCACAAGTATCTATTATAAACATAGAGCAACAATAATCAATGTAATGTCAATGTAACCTAACTATAGACCTTTTCAAGGTATCAATAGAGAAATCATTCAACTTTGTCTGTTTTACGACCTTATAGCACTTTTATTATACTTAAATTGCATTTATTGGTTTTCTATGTCTATAATGTTTCTTGTTCAGTAGAGCTACACTTCACTGTTACTGCTTTCCTGGAAGGTTGGCTGGATACTGACTTGCAAATGTAATGTTTCCTTTAGCAGCTGTCTACTCAGCACTTTCACAGAAGCCAGTCCAACAAGTACCAAGCAAGAGGATAGCCTGTATTTGGGTGTATACAAATTCTGTGTTTATGAATGAAAAGTGTAAATGTTTAGCTATACTATCTAATTGTTATTATTGGCACCTTGCTGAAGTACCATGAAGGAGCTGTCTGTGACTGCACAGGCCTGCACTTTGACATATGTGTTACATTTGTGAAAATTGCCCATGTCAGTCATGAAAAATGCTCATAAAATAAAATGTTTCTTTACGTTAGTCTGTTTACTGTATACATACGAAAAAAATGGGAGGTGAGCAACTATGTATGGTAGTTTCATTCAATTTAATTTGCAACTAAAGATGAAGAATTTTATTGAAAGTCCTACAAATATATACATAAAAATGTCCGGTGATAGCTATATTAACATGTCAATTTTTATCTCTAAATGTCATTAATATTATTAGCATTAGCACTCTGTTAGCTTCGTTAGCAGTTAGCGAACACATTAACTGCAGTAACTCATAGCAAGAGTTTGCTAACGAATAACTGATGTTTTACTGAAGTTTTTATTCCCTGTTACCGTTTTTATACCGTTAAGTTGGTTTATATATTTAACATATAAATATGAATCCCAGGAACTGCTTTGTTACCTATACTAATACTAATTTATTAGCATTATTAGCATCAGGATGGCCTTTGGTATCAAAATATTAGTATTACCTAACATTTTAGGTGAACATCCTTGCCGCTGGGGTAATGCGGATTATTACTGCTCCTACAAGTACGTTTGTTGCTGTTAAAGAAACTTTAACACTATTGTACAAACACAAACAGTCAATTGCCCACCACACCAGCAGGGGCGCTACAAACCTGGGAGTCGTCTTACAAGCAGAATCGTCCTCTCCTCGCCGTCTCTGCTTTGTTTGTTCCGCACACGGCAGCAGGGTCGCACACACCCACTTTTACCCAGAGACTTTCAACCTTGCGCAAACACACATCTGGTGAAGTGTGTGCAGCTGTGTCCGCTCAGGCTACAATGGCCAAGACCGGGGATCTGAAAACGTTCCTAGAGTCTTCACTGAATGAGATTTTTAAAGCCACGGTGAGCGACATCCTGGACTCAGTCGACCGGACACTGTCCGAGTACCAGGGCACAATACAAAGGATCGAGTCTGAAAACGAGGGCCTGAAGCGGCTGCTTTTTGCACAGACGAGCACAGAGTCTGCACCTGGAGGTATGGTGACCTGCTGTCGCTCATGACATGTTAGTTAAAGCATGCCCTGGACCATCATCAGATAGACTTATGTACAAGGGAACCACGTGACACTATACCCATGAACATTTACATGCAAATAATGGAGCTGTGCATGTTTTACAGCTACAACTTCAGCTGATTACTTTACTTCTTTGACTAGAAGCTCAGGTTTAGTTTGGAGACAAAGTTAGACAAGTGAGGTTGAGATGGTTTGATGAGGGATAGTGGATATACTGGACAAAGGATGATGAAGAGCTGGGGCTACCAGGCAGGAGGAAAAGAGGAAGACCTCAAAGGAGAATCGTAGATGTAGTGAAGGAGGACATGGCAGAGGGTTGGTGTGACAGAGGAGAATGCTAGGGACAGAGAGGAAGCAGATGTTCAACTGTGGTGACACCTACAGGGAGCAGCCGGAAGAAGAAAATAAAATATGAGAAGAAAACTGAATCCTCTATCAATTATGAATATTAAACTTAACTTATTTCAACTGTTTGTTGCCAAAAGAATGACTGAATAATTGGCAAAACTGTCCAATTATTTATCAGTAAAGAACACAGCAATTAGTTTCAGTGCCAAAATGTTTATGAGGTAAAAAGCAGATTTTGTGCTAAGAGGTTTAGGCCTTCCCCCAAATAAAATGACCATAATTATAAAATAAAACAAACAAACAATAGTTTAAGCAGTTGGATTTATATATTTGTGCATAAAATAGATTTTTGATGCGCAAATTCACCGCACAATGCATTTATAGCCAACGCTGTAAAGGACAATTATGTCTACTGTAATATGTAGTAGCAATACTGTGTATAGTATGGATGCTAATTAGTATAGAACCAGCAAAAAATACAGTACAATGGAAACGTCTTGAGCAACCTATCATTTATTTATATTTTTTGCCAGAAAAAATTGAAAGTAGATGCAGGGATTTATTGAAACATGTGCAAACATAGCAAGAAAGTACTGTTGCCTCACAGCAAGGTCCTGGGTTCAAATCGACCATCTGGCCGGGGCTTTTCAGTGTGCAGTTTGATGTTCTCCCACAGTCCAGAGACATGCAGTCAGTGGGGTTAGGTCAATTCTACTTACTAATGTATACTATTCATACATTTAGCTGTGTTAAAAGCTGCTGCTTTGCTCATTATTTTGCTTGAAATTCACAGATCTACATGAAGAAGAGGCCACTGAAAACTTCTCAGGTGCAGAATGGGGGAGTCATCCCAATGGTATGTTCAAGGTGTCCATATGCAGCAGTGACAAGAAGAGCGTCAAGAGGAAGAGCAAAGAAAAGATGAGGGGGGAGTTGCCACCTTCAACCCTTTTTCTGCAGACTAACCACACAGTACAGCATCTGTGTGTGAACTCAACAGATATGGAAACTGGGATATCCATAAAATCAGATATGGATGAAAGCCAGGCTATTGATCTCTCTCAGGCGTCAGTGCTTCTGAATATGACAATGAAGCCAATAAAAAATGAGAGCACAGAGGTCAGGTGTGACAGTCGTGATGAATACGCACATCAGCAGCCATCCCCGGGGCCCAGGCATGAGTACGGTGGTGATGAAGGCGATGTTAAAGTCACCATTGTTTCAGATCAATACATGCAGGATGGTCAGTTCATAAAGACTGAGGAAGAGGAGCAGAATGGGGACAGTTTCCACCAGCATGAACTGAAGTATGCGTCAAAAAATTACCCAGAAGCAGAGGGGGATTCAGCGGTGGGGACGAGGCATGTGTCTGAGCCAGAAGCAGTGACCCCTAAAGGAGACGATTTACCTGCTGTTCCTGTAGAGGAGTTTTTAGAAGTTTGTGACAACTTTTTGCGTTGTCCCACCTGTCCCAAAACGTTTAGTCGAGCGACCTCGCTCAACATTCACATCAAGACCCACAGCGGCGAGAAGGCTCACAGCTGCAGCTACTGCGGAAAATGCTTCAGCCGGGCCGACCTCCTCAAAGCCCACAAGCGCACTCACACGGGAGAAAGACCCTACAGCTGCAATCTGTGCAGTAAAACCTACGCTCACCCCAGCCAGCTCCGGATACACAAACGCATCCACACCGGAGAGAAGCCATATTGTTGCTCGCATTGCGGGAAGCGCTTCAACGAACACAACCAGCTGAAAGTCCACCTGCGGACCCACACCGGGGAGAGGCCATACGGCTGCCAGGAGTGTGGCAAAACATTCAGCAACGCGGGAAACCTGCGCATCCACGAGCGGATCCACACCGGTGAGAAGCCGTATTGCTGCGCCCAGTGTGGTAAAAGGTTCAATGGCCTGGGTGACCTGAAAACACATTACAGGATCCACACTGGAGAGAGGCCGTACAGCTGCGAGCTGTGCAAGAAGACCTTCAGCCAGGCGGGCCACCTCACCATCCACATGCGGATGCACACGGGGGAAAGACCGTACAGCTGCAACGAGTGCGGCAAGAAGTTTACAGTGGCCAGCAGCCTTAAATTGCACCAGAGGACTCACACGGGTGAGAAGGAGTACAGCTGCTCATACTGTAGCAAGAACTTTAGCAGGTCCGGTCACCTGAAGAGACATGAGCTGGTCCACACCAAGGAGAAGATCTTCCTCTGTAGTCAGTGCGGGAAGACCTACACTGACCAGTCCTCCCTGAAGAAGCACCTGAAGATGCACGTAACAAAAGAGCAGGAGGCTCAGAGTGAAGGAGACACGTGTCGGGCTGAAAGGAACTCGGACCGACCCGCAGCCTCAGAGATGCTTTCAGACACTCTTAGAAATTAAAACTGTAGGAGGTGAGTCATTTAAAAACTGACAATGAGTGCTGTATGTGACTGTAGTCAATGCGATAATGGTACACTTACAAGCTTTTTTAGGGCTTTTTAAGCACATCTAGCTGCCTACTTCTGCAGACGGAGTTTGAGTGTACTACATGTAAATGAGGTGCATGAGCTGTCACCTTTTATATCTCAGCTTAGGGGGAATTCCAGTGAAAGGATGTGAGACAAGACGCTGAGTAAGTGGCGGATTTCTAACTTGATCAGAAAGCAGAAAAAAAACTTGCATTTACATAAGCAACAGAGCCAGTTGTGACTTCAGGTGCCAAAGTCGTCTAGAGCCACTAAGCACAAACTCCTAATGTAAATGCTGTACTGCTAGTGTCTCATAAATTCTCCATCTATTGAAAAAACAAAATCCAGTTCAGGGTTGCAAGGGCGCTGGTCACGACTCCATCACTTGGCTTATCATAATTAAAAAACTTAAAATGTAATAGAAAATAAAAGCCAAACTATCCGGCCTGCAGATTTGAACACACCGCCCTCTCTAGGATCATATATGTTGGCCATATATGAATGCTTATAAAACAATAATATTGTTACATTGTCATAATATGGTTGTAATAAAGGAAAAAATGTGCATATAATAATCTTATAGTATTTCTTACTGGTGCTTGTCACATAAATATAAAGATTTTAGATGCTCTTTAAAAACTACAAACATTCTTAGTGTCGTTGCACTGAGGGATCTTCCAGGATTGTTGATCCGGTTTTCCAGAGAGCTGATTGGTCAGTGGAGTTTGATCTGAAAGATTATTCCCTCTGGAGTTACCGTAGTGATAAACCCCCAGTGATATACCCCCGTTAACCACGTGTTTCAGCATGAACCCCGTTAATGCTAAAACACAGGGTTAATCCTGAAGTTACCTTGATAAGCCCAAATCCTGCTTCATTGTATGAACCTCTAAAGCCTCATCTGCAGAAAAAAAATCTATCATTTAATTCTGGCATGAAAACAACAGACTGAAGGTTTCTTCACAGTACAGCAAGTACTGAGAGCTGTGGTTAAAAGCTCTAAAAAGCCTGTAAGTGGAACTGAAGT